TGATTAAAGTTTTGTTGCCCGGGCTTAACAATCCTGAAATGTGATTAGTTTGGATGAGATTCGTTATGAACTTAAATTGGAGGTTTAGAAGGATTGAAACTGCGATGCTGAATGAAATGCTAGTTGAAACTTTTGGACATGGATGATTGGTTGTTTAGTAGCTTAGGCACAAGCCATGGCTTTTTCTTTTTCAAGGCAGGCAAGCTAGATGTACAGCGGGTAGCATCTGGTAGCTTAGGCAGTCCTCAGAGACAATATAACTCACCAAAAGGAAAAGGGGAGCTCATCAACCAAAAGAAGGTTTGCCATTCTCTCTCTGCCAGGAAAATGGAGTAAGAGTTTTTGAGCCATACATGAACCGCGGTTTAGTATTATTTATCGTTTGTGCAATGTTCTTCCAATTCTATATTTGATTAAAAAGTTTGTGATTGGTTAATGCATAAAAAACTTATTCACTAATATAGTTTTTGAAGACATTCACAGTTGACATGATAAAAAAACATTAATTCATTCTAACGGGAAGATATTACTAATCAAACTAAGCAATCGAAGTATTGAGAACTAACAGCCACTCAGTACTACGGGTGGTTCTCCTCTTCACTTGGAAGTGAGAGGTAGGTTTGAATCTCGTGGATGATGAATTCAATACCAAAGTAAACTGCTCATTATATGGCTTTGCCGAACTCTCCCTCCCCTTAGTGTAAAAATATTGATGTACTCAAAACAACAACACCAAAAGTTGAACTCAAATTCTTAACAATCGCATTCCTAAACAGTAACCTAGATAAATTCTTAACAATCACATTCCTAAACAGTAACCTAGATAATTAAACTATGCTGGACTGCTCTTCAACTTCAACTTCATTCTCTCTTGACATCTCCTCCAGTGACTTTCCCTTCGACTCTGGCACCAAAAATGTAAAGAAGAACCCAATAACGTTGATCGCTGCAAGAACATAGAGAGCATTCTGCATTCCAATTCCAGCTGGGTACCCTGGATCAGCCTTAGCCGGGTCTTGATTCTGGGCAGCATACAAAAACCCGAAAGCCCCAATAATCGCTCCCAACTTGCCCGCAGCCGCTGAAATCCCATGACAAGTGGACCGAAACCTAGCTGGGAAAATCTCCACTGGCACAACAAACGTTGTAGCATTGGGTCCAAAATTGGCAAAGAAAAATGTTAGAGCATACATGACAATAAATCCAATATTGTTTTCAGGTCTAATCCAGTGGTGGTAAGGAGCTGCCAAGGCAAGCATGAAAACAGTCATGAAAAAGAACCCAATTAGCTGAATTGCCAACCGACCAATGCGATCTATGAGAACGACCGTGACCCAATACCCCGGAATTGTGCCGCATAGGGCTATTAGGGTTTGTGCCTTTGCGATTTTGTAAAGCTCATCTAGGGCACTCATAGAGCTTGCTGATGGCAGCCATCCGACGGCGCTGAATATGTCCTTTTGGAAAAGATTTTGGCTATAGTAAGCAATGTCTAACAATAACCAACACATGGCTGAGCCCAATAAATGTTTACCGTGACGCCTAAGAAACTCTTTGGAAAATAGACCAAAACTTGAGGACTTGTTATCTTGGGATTGCTCTTTGATTTCAAGATTCAACACTTTTGCCATGTCTTGGCACGCCTTGTTTTGATCCTTGGCTACTAAGGCAGTATAACGAGGGGTCTCCGGCATCTTCATTCTCGAATAGAAAGTTAATGCGGCTGGGACTGCTCCGAACATGAGAATAATCCTCCAGACATAGTCCGCTTGAGGGACTGTCGACCCAAGTGGATCAACCGAGTAGGGCTCGGCATGGTATAGGGCGCGAAAGATAGAAGAAATCACAAGAGTCACCAACCCACCAGCCAAGATTCCGAACCCTTGCATAGCAAAAACCGAGGCTATAAATGCCCCGCGGTTCTTTTTGTTCGAGTACTCCGCCATGATCGTTGCCGAAAGTGGGTAGTCGCCGCCAATTCCAAAGCCTAGCCAAAACCGGAAAAAGCAGAGTGTGGCCATGACAGTAGTTGGGGAGTTGCCAAAAGAAAGGCCGGAACAAATAGAACAACCCACCATTAGCATTAGGGTTAAACCATAAACACGCTTGCGGCCGAGCTTGTCCCCGAGCCACCCGAAGAAGAGCTGACCGGCTAGGGTTCCGCATAGGGCAACTCCGTTGACAGCGCACGCCACGCTTGGAGGAAGGCTGCCCGGCTTTGAAGATCCGGGCACATGGTAATAAATGCGGCCCAGGAGCTTGGTGACGAGGGAGATACAGAAAAGGTCATAGGAATCGGTGAAGAAGCCCATGCCGGAGATCACAACTGCTTTTAGGTGGTAGAGCTGAGTTTTGGCGGTATCCAGCATGGACAGGACTTCGTTCTGCTGGTCTTTTACCTCCATGATTGAAGACTGCTGGTCTTCCGCTGCCATGATTGAAGCCTGTAAATTTCTCTCTCGATTAATTTGTTTCTAAACAATCTCTTGGATTGGGAGTGTGAGTTATAACTACAAAGAATAGTAGAATGGAGAGTGAGTCGTGCATGATTATATTTATAGGGAAGACGGTGAAGTGTCCTAGTCCAACACTATTTAGTAGTCCGTAGTAGTGGTAGATATGGATTTCAATTGTTGTTGTATCCAAATCCAACAAATAAAAAATCATATCCAACAAAAAAAAAACGAAAATCATTAAATAAAATAAAAAATATAGAAGTGTGCTATCCACACACCTTATTAAATTTTGTTATTTGATCTTCTTTTATTCAGTTGATCCAACGGCTACAAATTAAGAGAGCATGTATGAAGTAAATAGAGGTGTGTAAGAGAATTGGTGGGCAGTTTTGTATATACACACACAATTAGTTACTTCCAAATTTATCCTTCGCCTATTTCTTCTTCCTATATTGAGAGAAAAAAAAAGAGCAACATAGATAGCAACATGTATTGCATCCAAATCCTAAATGGAAACATGTTAAAGACTTTTATTCTAGTGTTGCCAAAAGTTTACAATTTTAACCGTCTGAGGAACTTGAGCATGCTCGAGGGGGGGATCGAGCACTGCCTGAGGAACTCGAGAGGGGTCTTGAACTGCTAAAGGAAGCTCTTGAGTCTGGAGTGCCTATATTTATAAATCTTTTTAAAAAAAAAAGACGCCAAGTTATTTAAGTTAATAGAAATGTTAGGACTTGCGTCACGTAACATTTTATCAATTTTCGAATTTAAATACAAGTGTTGAAACTCCAAGTTAAACGCATACAAGTGTTGGCTAAAATAAATGTGATGGCAAATTTGAATCAAATTGTTATAGTTGACCTATTATGTGGCTTAACTTAAATGCCTCACCCCTTAGTGTAATTATTGTACTAAGAAAAACGCTCTCATATGCACGAGTTTGTGTCTCACTCTCTACAAAAAGTTTAGAGAGGTGATTTTCACACACTGTTTTTAGGTTCTCACACTCTTTTTTATTTATGGTCATCAAATTGAATAAATCAAATGGAATCAACGCCTAGAGTTAAACATGAGTGTTTTTAGAAGCTAAAAAAAGTGTGTGACTTATCTTTGGCTAAAATAAATGTGCTCTTGTAGTCACTAACATTACAGTGTATCGATATTTCTCTCCATTTGTAAGTTCTCAGTTTTAGGTTCGGTTCCTATTGATGACGAGTTTGAATCAAATTATTATAGTTGACCTATTATGTGGCTTAACTTAAATCTCCTACCCCTTAGTGTAATTATCATTGTATTTTAAGAAAAACGCTCTCATATGCACATGAGTTTGTATCTCACACACTACAATTTAGTACACCTTTATTAGGTTCTCACACAGTGTTGCCTTTCTTAGTTTTCACACACATTTCTTTATTTATAGTCATCAAATTGAATAAATCAAATGAACCCAATGATCAAGATTAAGCATGAGTGTAAATGACTTTATTAGCACTTAAAATAAGCACAAAAAAGAAGAAGAAGAAGAGTGCTACTAGACCCACCTCAATGTCTTATTTCCCCACCCACGTTATAACCCCACCCACCACTAAAAGTTAAAAAATTGAAACCCTATTTCCCCACCCACTATTATTCCTAAAATAACCTCATTTCATAACAACAGCTTAAAAAACTCTAAAGCTAAAATCTTGAGCTTCATTATACATATTTGACACAAAGTTGTTATTGCTTGAAACTGAAAGACTTGTATCCTAACAAACAGTCTCTCTCTCAAATTTGCATCTCAATTCCCCCATGTGAGCTGAATGGGGTTCTGAGGACATACATCACACCTACTGAATCCAAACCAATGGTCTGCTAACTAGCTTAGATTTGTATGAAATATAGATTGTGTGGGAAAACCCAGCAAAAGAGCGCTTGCTATCTTAATGTTAACCAAAACAGACAAAATCCACAACCCCACAAACACCACCCAGCCTACCATAATCATCCTCACTGTTGCCACAACCAGCAAAAACCTAAATCCAGAAATTAACAAATCGGGTGACTAACAAGCATAAAAAAGAAATTAGAAAGAAAAACAAATTGGATGGGAAGTAGAAAAGGAGGATAATACTGTGAGGGAGATGAGGAAAAAAGGATCTGGAGAGAGCAAAGTTGTTATTTGGAACAGTAAAAATCAAAGTGTTGCACTTGGCCAGGCTTCTAAGTCCTTATACGTCATTTTCTCTATGGGTAAACTTGTGAATAAAATCTTTATTAAGAAGGGGGTGAGGAAATAAGACACAGGGTGTTAAAGATCAACACCAGCCCATTAAGATCAGTCAGTACAAAGGAACTAGATTATTCTAGTTCAAACATGCATGAAATTGTTCTACAAGATTCTAGCAAGCATATATCGGTGGCAATGCATGATTAATTACTTGTACCACCATATAATCGATTTTGCAATTGTGTTATCGTATGCAGGAGTCAACTGATCTCCAATTATGTGTTTGTGTTTTCTGGAGTTATTCTTTCATTTACATCTTCTGTGAGTTTGACCTTGAAGTTTATTGTAGAGGCCTAATCAATGATAGCTTGTATGCGGAAGCATTTTCTCGTTCCAGATGGTCTTCCTTAAGTTGGGGACCAAGGAAAATAAAGCAAGTAAGCCACTATTTCTGTATGAAGAGAAATGTCGTAGACAGAGATGAGTATTGTTAGATTCATATGTTCAAGGAGTCAGATTGACAAGCTAAACCTCGTTTTTTATTAGTGCTGTCCCATTTAAGCAAGAGTAGTCATGTTCATATCGCACTAGGTTGTTAGCCGTTGTTGGAGTCTTTTATTTTAAAAATCTAATTAAGACCAATAAGCAAGCGTAATCGCTAGAGTCCACCATCAATATTAGCAAGGGTAAAATGTCTGATTATATGTAATTAACAAGAATCGTTATTGTTGGATTAGGCGCTTTTCAACAAGGGAGTGAGTACTGTTAATGCTGAGAAGGCAATTAAACTGGTTTTTGAGGAGGGAAAACCAGGTGAAGATAAGGAGCTAATTCATGGCCTGTCGAAGCTCTCAATGGACAATTTAGTTGTTCAGGCCTCAAAGCAGTGGCTCAGAGGTCTAGAAGTGCCTGAACAAACAAGGATATCAAGGGTGTCATCAACTTCATATTAAAGAAGTTGGAGTTTCAGTACCCACCCCAGAGCACAATGAGGCTCTATCTTTTTCATGCCACGTAATTAGGAACAAAACGGTACTGTCCAAAACCCTGTTAGTCGTGTAGTATGTGAAGAAATTGGGGTTCCATCATAAACCAATTAGCAATATGAGGAGTAGCTCAACCTCTTATAAGCCCTAGCAAGATATCCCTCTCATTCTCAACAGTATGGATAGTGTTTTGGTCTGTAATGTTACTTGTTGCTGTGGCCAGAAAACAATTGCTTTAGCGGTTTAACCGTTATTTTAGCCGTTATCAGTGCCGGCCATATGTTGCGTTAGCCTAGCCTGGCTTCACCTAGTTGAGGTGGGGTGAAGCCGACCTTAATGACAACATAGCTTGTAGACAACCCAGAAGTGGGCACTACTTAGCTGTTTTTTGATAGGGTACCATCATTTTCTTGCTGAAATCAGGAACTCTCATGTCTTCATGTATTGTGAAATGAATAATTAGCTCAATGAAATTCAGTTTTTTGAGTTGCTAAATCCGAAAATTCGAACCGTTCTATTTGTTTGAATACTTCTGCCAGTTTTTGTACCTCTTAAGAAAGTATCTAAGGGTGCATTTGGAAATGCTCCTGTGGAAAACTCTTCTGATAAGCTAAGCGATTATTTTGCTTATAATGAATTTATTAGAAGAAAGCGCTTTCTAGGTGCTTCTTCAGAAAATACTTCCAGGTGCTTAACAATTACAACCATAAAAACTTCTAACTTTTGTGGCCGAATATATGAAAGTACTTTTAGCTATTTTGAAAAGCAATTTCAAACTGACCCTAAATGTATATCTTAGCAATGTGCTCAAAAAGTGGATGCTAATTCATGTGCAGTTGTAACGTTTTGGAACAGTTTACTTGGTTTTGTGTATTTTTTATATATATATATATATATATATATATATATATATATATATGTAGAGGTATAATGGTCCTGCTTTTTTATACATGTGCTTCTGATCGTGACACACCAAGTCTTGTAATCCAAGATTAGTACTGTTTCTTTGCTGGAAAGCCTTATTTTTTCAGATATGCACATGGACATGCGATGTGGAGTTGGGGTGGAGGGGGACCATGTGAGTGCTTTGTTGGAAAGAAAAATATGTCATGTCATGGAATGAAATCTCATTCCCTTATGTAATTACAAAAATCCAAACGAGTAAAATCTAAAATTGGTTCTAAATTTTCGCACTAGTTTATATTATGTTTTTCAACTAAAAATTCATTAATCGAGGTCCTTGAATTTAACAAAACAGTGCACCATTGGTTATTTTCATTAACTTTCATCTAAAACTTGGTTAGTATAATGATGTGACACATGTAAGGGTCTTACATAAGCAATTTTACTCAAATCCATAAATGCCAATCATTGTTTAAACTTCTACATACCCCGCATTTACTCTCACTCCTCCTAAACACAAGAAAAACTTATCAAGCGTCGCCATGTGCTTTAACTCTCTCATGTGAAGTCGCATGATTGGTTTGGGATACCGTCGCCTTAACGTCTGTAAGATCTCACATCGCCCGGAAGATGGAAGGTGATGTGCCTTATATGTACATGCCCACCTCCCTATGGTAAGACGCGTTTTGGGTGGAAGCCCAAGAACAAATCTATGAGGACGTGGCCCAAAGCGGACAATATCTTGCTATGCAAACTAAGATGTGACAATTTGGTATCAAAGCCACTCACTGCCCAGTGTGCCGACGAGGGTGTCGGGCCCCTAAGGGAGGTGGATTGTAAGATCCCACATCGCCCGGGGGATGGAAGGTGATGTGTCTTATATGTACATACCCACCTCCCTATAATAAAACTATTTTGGGTGGAAACCCATAGACAAATCTGTGAA